CTGACAAAAATAGAAAAGAAATCTGCTGTACAGACTTTGTACTGATTGCAATATTTGATTTGAAACACAAATTGAATTTTAGCATGATTTATATCCACAACTGTTACTCTTATCATTAATGTTTCTGAATGTATTCCATCAGTGAATCTATACCAGCATTTGAATAATTTGTTCTGTCATGTGATGTTCCTTGTGATTTTGAAATAAAAATAGCCTTCTCTGTTTAAAGGTGATATTTATTGGTTAGTGGTTCCATTTGGCCTGTATTTTAAGGTCTAAATCTTCACAATAAATATGGATGTGACGTATGTAACTTCTCAAGGTTATACTTTGTTTTCAAGATGGCCTTTTCTTTTCTTATCATTCTACTGTTATGGGAGAGGAATAAGAGAGAGAGAGAGAGAGAGAGAGAGAGAGAGAGAGAAAGAAAGAAAGAAAGAAAGAAAGAGAGAAAGAAATCTTCTGTCTGAAAGATTTAAGCATAAAATCTTTACCTAAGACTTCTTTTTCTTTGTAGATTTTGCTAAAGAACCTGCCAATAATATTTGTACATATGTATGCTCGCATGTATGTGTGTTGATCGTTTTGCAATGCAAAATATTGCATAATGCTCTCATCTTGGCGAAACTTCTGTTTTTATTGTTTGTCGTTTTATTTTACCGTAGTTGTCCATTACGCCACAAAATTTGATGAATGAAAATCTTGGTACGCAATGTACTGTGTAATTAAACAGAATTTACAGCATACATATTTGTAACTATATTAACTCCACAGTACCTATTCGTAGGTATAAGGGAACAATATACAACGTTTGGGGAATAAGGGGGCCATTACCTGCAAAATTATAAAGCATTTATACTCTAAGTATTTTATAACTAAAGTGCACCTATTCTGAAATTACGTGGTATGCATGACACACAAACCGCAATTTTCAGCCTCAGCATAATTTGCAGCTGAACTATTCTAAGATTGTGTGGTATGCATGACCTACTGTGTCAGGTCCTACTGTGTGTTCTAAACAATATTATGATTTAGAACAAGTTGCCTTATTGTAATAACACAAAATATATGATGCAGTATATTTTTACACTACGTACTGGGTACTTATTGCATTATTACAACATATATCTTACATGACATCGATACAAATAGTAAACTGTAGTATACTATAGTATAATTGAGTAATTATAGTAAAGTTAAAAACCACCATAGTCTTTATCAAATTTTACCACAGTTTACTTAATGTAACAGAATCTCGTAACAGAATACTCGGCCTCACAAGGATCCAGCAGTTTTTCTACAGGACACTGGCCAGGTATGGACTCCGCAAGACTGTTATTAGCTCTTGAGCAGGGCACACGATCGCTCGAGAGCTATATTCAAGAGTATTTAGAGATCGCTAATTCTTCTGATTTGCCTGACTGTATCTTGATAGATTTCTTTTATGAGGGCATTAATCAACCGCTCAAATCATGTTTAATCTGTGAGGGTCCCCGCTCATCTCTCGTTCAATTTATGGATCATGCTTTGTTGACTGTTGGTTCATCGTTCACTGTGGGTGTCGCGGAGGAACGCGACCCCACACTCACTTGTGTAATGGCGGCCGCACTAGAGCACGCTCACAAAATGGCGGCGACAGCAGAGCCTGATAGCAAAATGGCGGACACAACAGCGCCCCGTTATGTCACAGCTGCTAATCCCGAATCAAGTCAAGGTACAACTGATCTTCATGAGTCAAGTCAAGTCACAGCTGATCTCCCAGAGCCTCGTCACGTCTCAGCAGTTCGTCCAGAGTCCCGTCATGTCCTGTCTGTTGCACCCAGATTCTCAAGGTCAGTCCTTCGGTATCCCAGTCTGGTATCCAGTGTGAGGGATGCACCGCTAGTGTCTGCACGCGCAGCTGGTATCCCCAAACCCACTCACTCTAGCCCTGCTGTTCCTGAACTTATTCCCCTGTCTGAAGCGCTTCCCATGATGGGGATCACTTTTTTGGTGTGTTTGGGCTGCATACTAGGGCTGTGTATCACCAGCAAAGTCACGATATGTATCACGATACAGATGCCACGATACGATACGTATCTCGATACAGGACTGCACTGAATTTCACCTCAGGAGAATTTAGTAAAACAGCTGTTTATTAAGTAAATTATATAATTTACATTTGCCATTTCCAACAGTAGTCTTAATAGGTAAATTGCATGCAAATTTTAACGCTTTATAAGTTGCGAAATGAAAATGAAAATGTATAACACAAATTGATTTGATATGAGTAACATGTCCAAGCAGAAATGGTAGCATAATGATCATTGAAATGCTATTTGTCCTAAATGCATTTAGACTAACAGTTGCATTTTCATCATGATGCCGTGGGATATTTGTAGCAAAAGTCAATTTGAAAATGCATTCCGAGCTGACCACGCCCACCATCCGTCAATCATTGCTTCAAGGCGGGGATTGGTGGAAGCGTGGTACGTTTGGATCGTTTGAAACATGGCGGCTGGAGATCTGATAAGATCGTTGAATTCACTGCAGATGAAGTGGAGCATGAACAGAGAAATATATGAAGCGTATTGCATGCTAAAATCGAATTTGAACGACCGACCGACTGATCGAACGTCTTGAGCTTTGAGCGTCTTACACTGCGGGTGACCCACGTGACGTCAGCGTCTTGAAATTAGCTGGTGTTTAAACATTTAAGGATCTAAGCTGCTGTGTAAAGACTATAAATGGACACTACAAGCATTACAATAATGATATTTTATACCTAAAATAATACTCAACCATTTCCTGCATCCTGCTGTACTTCCCTGAATAAGTCTTTAAAGGTGTTGTAGGCTAATAAGTCGTTCTGAGTAATAAATTGAAAAAGCTCCCACCTGTATATGATTAAACAAAATAACATGTAGTTTACGTGAGGTTCTGTTATAAATGTGTCTATTAGAAACATTAATTTTAATTAATTATACAAAAAATTGTTTGAAAATTATTAATTAATTACGTTTTTGAACGGAAGTCCTGAATGAATCTTATTAAAGGTCCTTTAATGCATTTTTATGATTTTCAATGCCCCGCAAAAACCCTGCCTTTGTTGGAAATGTAAATAAATAATTTTAATTATGTTTGATTATGTTATAACACTTTTCAGTAACAATATTTCATATTACAGTAAAGTGTAGTAGCTTTTTTAAGTTTCTGAAATATCCTATAATTGTAACACTCAGAGGAAACTTGAACTCTATACTTTATGAAAGGAAAACAAATTTGGCGGAGTTAAAAACAAACATTGGCCCTCCAGGAGCGGGACTGAGAACCCTGACTAGATCTTCACATTAATTGAATGTGATTGATCAACACCATCTTTAAATTTGCAACATCTGTTGTAAATACATGTATAGGCCTATGTTTAAATATATACATTTACTACAATATGAAACTGTCTGCATGTCCGGTTTCAGTCAGCGAGCCTGCTTATGAGCTGTCTACCCGTTCAGTGGTCACCAGGGAGACTATTGATGGACTTCTTGTGTTCCTTGCCTCGGTCCTTGAGGCCGTATATGCTCTGTCTGTCTCTTGTATCTCAGTTTTCCCTAGTTCCCAGTCTCTGCCATGGATTCCTAATGAATAGCTTACATTTATAAAATGAGCCTACAATAGCAGAAATAAGCCTTTTTAATGAAAGTAAAGTCCATGCTTTACACAATTTCTGTGCACATGCACAAGAGCACATAAAGTTTGCTGTGTTCATCCTCCCGACACACTTGGCTTTGAAAAGAGGCAAAACCATATACATAAATGATAAACTGAAGCAGGATCTTTATGATAATCTGATCATTTGTTTATCCAATCAATTCTGAGAGTTTTTGATCTAAAATCAGTGAATATGTATAACAAGAAGAGTATATAAACTGTGTATCTGACCAATAAACTGTGAAGAAGAAGGAGATGTGAATCAAACCACTGTCTGTCTCGTTCTTACTGGAAGAATTTTCATGGGTTTTAAAAAATAATAATACAATGTCACAAATATATTTGTAAACATCATTTAATATTAAATGTGATCTATTCAGTGATCTACTGGAATTTCACAACCAAACATGTCTGTTGCAGCAACAATTGCACAGTTAGCTGAGTTTTCTGAGGAGCTTTTCAGCAAAATCTTTCAGTCTTTAAATCTTCTGAGGAACAGAGCTCAGTTTAACTGTTCAGAACAAACAAGGGACTCATGGACAACCATCACAAAACAAAAAACAGTCGTGGATCATCCAGGTGACCACACACAGTATTAAGAAGCAAGGGTTCCCAAACTTTTGAACGGGGTTATTTTATTCATTTCAGCTATTTTATTTTTTTGTGGACTAAATGTAAACATCTTTTATGTAAAATATCTTACTCAGGACAGTACTAAATATAAAATAACATGCATTTTGTACGATCGCTCTTATTTTGTTAACATTATTCACATTGTCACAGATTCTTCAAGGGGTTCCCAAACTTTTGCATGCCACTGTATTTGAAGACCAAAAAAAACTGGTTTGTAAATTGTGACTTTATATTTCTGCATATTTGACATAAAAACATGTTGAAGCATGATGTACGTGCAGATCATTCATACACTTTCATAAGTAAAGATTTTGCATTGAAATGATCAGTGAACGAATAAAAAACATCAACATATATCTGTGAATATGTCGTGTATATTAATTAACAGACATTTGTAGCATCATCAGTTAAAATTGACTATTACAACATTTAGAAAGCCTTCTGCAAAAACATGTTATGTAATGATTAGATGAATCAAGATTAGAAAATTACCATGTATTTATATTATGATTTCTGTAATAATCATTCATGTTCATTAAAGGTACCTTCTTGCTCTGTTGATCACTGTATTTAATATTATATTTAAAGGATTCAGTACAGTATGGAAATATTCCTGAAAGTTGCATGCAAACATCCATAATAGCATTGACATGAAGATAAATCTGGCTGTAATCTGTTTTTTACTCTAATATTGTATTCATCTCTATTTCCTCTGGGTGCTGCGAGTTCTTCCTCCCTGCAAAATAATTCAACACAAAAGCATTTACTGAGCTCTCATGAGTGCAGATCGTTCAAGATCAATGTGAATCATCTCAAACTCACCAGCTCTTCTTGCACAGATGATCTGAAGAAGAATCACAGTAGGAGCAGCAAACACGGCAAACTCAACAATAATCACAATCACTGCAGGACAGATGAGAGAAAGGAAGAACATAAACTGTAAATGACTGAAGTCAAGGCTATTCAACTATTATTTTTGTTTGTTTAGTTTATTTATATAGCACAATACAACAACAGTCGTTGACCATTGTGCTGTAAAAAAAAAATTGTAAAATCGAAATAATAAATCATAATAAACCTACACACAATGACATAGTACATGCAGAGGGAAAACAAGCTTAGGACAACTTAAATATTATAAGCCTTTTCTAAAAGTTGGGTTTTTAAGTTTTACTTTAAACAGAGATTCTGTAGTGATTATTCTAATAGATAAAGGTAGGCTGTTCCATTATTTGGGGCCAGCTATGGAAAAAGCCCGGACTCCCTTTCTTTTTAACTGTGACCTGGGAACCTTTACCACTTTCTGATTTGATGACCTTAAACAACTAGCAGTCACAAGTTTAGCCCATTTAAAACCTTAAAAACAAAGAGTAAAATCTTAAACTCTATTCTAAAACATATCGGCAGTCACAGCCAAGTAAAGCCTGAGTTATATTTTCCGCGTGAGCAATCCGGACGCGTACACAGTAGTGTTGGGTCGTTCTTGAACGATTCGTTCATTTTAATGTGACTCGGGAAGAACGAGTCGTCTCGGGGAGTGATTCGTTCAGTCGCGCATGCGCAACATCCTATAGGTTCTGTACTGGAATTAGTCAAGTAGTTCACCTGTTTCGAGTTATTCGTTCATCACGTGACAGCCCCTTAAGTTTAACCAATGCAGTCTGAGCCAGAAAGAGACTTAATAATAATAACCAACTCTTTATTACCTTTGTTACAACATTCATTGTTATGGAAAATAAGCATCATGACAAAAATTCACACATTTATAAACTATAAGAAGTAAAAAGCTACAATTTGAGACCAGAAACGCATCACATAACTGTAAGAGTAAATAATAATTATAATAATGATGATGATAATAATAATAACTATGCACCTGTTTGTAAGGAAGCTTGTAAATTAAACTAATTTTTCTATCCAATGCTGTCACGTCACGTGACAGAACGAACGAATCGAAAGGCTCGAGAGATGAACTAATTAATTCTCTTTCCGGCTCAGACTGCATTGGTTAAAGCGTATGGGGCAGTCACGTGATGAACGATCGACTCAAACTCGAAGACTTGTCAGATAAGAGCTGAGGTGAGCTAGCATAGACTGAAGACCCAGGTCAACAATGAATTCATCTTTTCTGTTTCTTATAGCAGTTTTGTATTGTTTGTAGCGTGATCAATGTTTGCGTAAGTAGCAGATGTGTTAGGGAGGTAACAAGTAACATTTTAATTATATTTTGCTAAAATGAACGAAATGTCTCGAAAAAAGATTCGTTAATTTTGCTGAACGAGACTCGAAGGTCCGAGTCGGTAAAACTTCCCATCACTAGTACACGGACAGCACGGACGCGGACTACTTGTATTTATACTACCGAACGCATACATACATGTCTGTTCCATACATGCGCAGTAGATCTGCTTGAACAGTGAACAAACAATTGCCCAGCGTTATTGCCCATCTGGCTGTCTTTATATTGTTTTATCGATGGATTGTACAGGTTCGAGTAGCAACGGGCTTCTTCACACAGCCTGCGCATGCGCAGTAGCCTAGAGAGACAGCTCTTCACCTGTGGTTAGAGGCATAGGTCATTGTTAGTTTGCTGTGTCGACGTCATTGATTGCGTGTGTGTGTGTGTGTGTGTGTGTGTGGGTATGTATGTATATATATATATACACACATACACAAACATAGTATATACACTGTTTGCAAAAGTATTTTGAATTTTTTAAAGTGTTCTGTGGGGCAGGGGGGGCATATTGGCAAATAAACTAAATATTTAACAGAAGTTATGTCAGATTAAACCAATGGTTTAAACTGCAATGGTGGCTGGATGCTGCACAGGTGTCAGGAGGTATGGGCGAAGAGGATATCCACTGTCTCCCAGCAGCCAGCTATCACCAAAGCCACCCTCTTCAGCCACCTGGCAAACTGCAGAATTGGCCCACACAAAAGAGTCATGTGTGCTTCCAGGCCATTTTGCCACAATGTCAGTGAACATCCCCTGGTGATCACCCACTATTTGAACATTAATGGCTGGATAGCCCTTCCTGCAAATGTACAAGGGCTCATTTACCACAGGGCTTGACACTGGGATAAGGGTGCCATCGATGATGCCAATCACTCTGTGGATGTTGTCAATACAGTAGAACTGTTGATTGGCCAGCTGGATTTCTTCAGGAGTTTGGGGGGGAAATCAGGATGTTCTTCATAAGCTGTAAAAGCAAAGGTGTTACTGCTGTCACAGTTTTGCTGACTGAAGATTTGCTGAGCCCCAGGCCATCACCCACCACCTCTATAAAACTTCCAACAGCATAATAATGCAGTGTAGCTAACAACTGCAACGCTGGACTTTCTTGTTGCCCTCTGAAGATGTGGTTTCACAACCTGTAGTAGTTCAAGGATCTTGGCCCTTGGAAGCCGGAATTTTCTTAAGATGGCATCATCAGATAGTGAGTCAAGGGGGGTAAAATGTGTCCCTAAGCAGGCATGTACTGTATATACACTGCCTGACTTCTGCGTCACCTTCTGTGTCAGAGGACTCAGACGGAGGTGAATCAGGGGAAGAGAGCAATAGACAAGGACCCTTTGGTGATGTTAGAGGCCCAGGCTGAAGAAGGTCTGATGTTGAAGGGCCAGACTGGAGGGGGCCTGATGTTAGAGGCCCAGGGTGGAGGGGGCCTGATGTTGAAGGGCCAGCTGGAGAGGGCCTGATGTTGGAACTGAACTTTGAAGGCAAAAGCCTGGTTGATGCACATGCATCTATAACTCCAAGGATCCCTTCCAATGCTTCAGGGCCCAGGATGGCTAAAACTTTCTCTTCCTCTGTAGTGAGAGGAGGAACTGAATTGATACCCCCACCAGTCTTGTTTGCTTCCCTCTTACATGCCGCATGCGGCCCTCCGTTTTGTCACACTTGCAAAGTCTCTTCCACTTATTCCTGACTTCTTCTGGGCTTCGTTCGTACCCATAGCCAGCAGCATTTATTTTGTGTGATTTCTGCCCAGATATTTTTTTTATCAGCATTTGTAATGCTGTTTTTCAGCGTTGAAAAAAGATGGATTTTATTATTTTCCACCTCCTCCAAAAGAACTGCAATTTCATGCTTTGAAAATTGGGGTTTTCGTGTCATTTTCATTAACACATGGCTGAATGGCAAAGGGACTTAAATAGGAAAAGTTATTGAGCAAAATAAGCAACAGGTGTCCACAAGAGTACATTACAGTTTTTTTAAAAACCCATCTTTTTTCAATTGTGCTTATGTAGCCTATCAATATTAAATAAGAAATGGTATTTATATGAAATTGTGAAATTATAGACATTGGGATCAGAAAAGAGCACATTTTTAACTCCGTATTCTTAATGTCTGTTAAATTGGAATAACTAATTTTGTTCTAAATACATTTTAGTTGTCCAAAAGCAGTGCTGAAGTTCAACTAAAGTTGTATTACATATAGTTGTTAAGTGGAACTGTTCCAAGTATACTTAAGTACACTTTAAATATCCACTCTTTGCATTTAAGTTTTGAAATGCAGAATTCACTCAGCATAAACTTCAAATGTATTTTGGTGACAGCAATTACAATTCAGTTACACTGTAAGAGTGTTGAACATACATTAACATTATACTAACAACGTCAAGCTATCCTTTACTTTTAGTGACTTGAAAACACATTGCGATATCATTCCAAGTAAACTTGAAGTGTGCTAATGGCATCATTATGCCATTATAACTACGCCAACACACAGACATGCACCATTCAAATCTGGGCTTACTTTGTTTTCTTTACATACTGTTACAAGTACTTGTCATGATCTGGTTCATGTTCCCCTGTCTTGTTTCTAGAGTGCCATTTGTAGTCAACTTGTAGTCCTATTGTTTTATTGGTCGTCTTGATTCCTTTCCTAGGTGTGTCTTGTTACCTTGCTATCCTGTTTGCGTCTCTGTGTATAAATAGCCCAGTGTTTCAGTTAGTGTTTGTCAGTTGTTGTATGTCTGTGATGGTTGCTCCCTGCCTTTGTCTGAGTTCCTTGTTTATGGATTACTTGTTGATTCCTGAATTCTTATTAAACTCCTGCACATAGATCCTCATCTCTGTTTGCCTCATCTCGTCTCTGCAACGTTACAGAACAACTGACCAAGACTAACTGAAACACTGGGCTATTTATACACAGAGATGCATTAGATTAGATAGTAATACATGCGGTTCACATGGCTCTTCAGAGCAGCAGCAGTACATATGTCTTGGCGATAGATCTGCTTTGTGGGGGATGTCTTGTCTTTCCTTGTCTGTTCATCTTCACGTGCGTGGATACATGCATGTCCACTGATACAGCAGTTTATCCTTATATGGAAGGTCATGTACATTACCATGCCAATCCCTCCGAGAGTTGTCATGACAGAAATATAATTCATCCTTCCCCAGTTGCATTTGTAAAAGGTATAGTATTTTACAAATGAATTTGTAGTGCACTGTTTGTGCTTGATGAAACATGATATAATATGAATAACTACATTTACATTGTATTTTCAATTAGTACATAGACATGTTAGTCTATTTTTAGTATACTTATCATGAAATAAATATATTTTAAATACGATTTAGTATATTTATTTTTCAATAGGGTGCAAGTAAGGCTCAGGCAGCTCTTATGGCACCATTAAACAGTTATAGGGTCCTTTTGTGGCCAAGACAGAAGGAAGAATGATACTGCAACCCATAAACCTACAGTTTGTCCTGAATTAATGACATTATCATTCCTCGTGCCATGTCTCTGTATCAGAGAGTCTTCTGAAATTGAGTTAGGAAAGTTTCTCACCTGAACTCTTGACAGTATAAGTGACTGAGGTCTTGACTTGATCTCTCTGAGTAACTTCACATCTCCACTCTCTGTTGTGATCTTCATTCAGGAGTGTTATAGTCAGAGTGATGATACAGTGTCCTGGTGAGGATAATGCCTGACATCTGGAGTCTGATCTCGTCAGTTTAACACCAGCCTGATTCACCCAGAACAGCTCAATTCCCTCAGAACGGATCCAATCATCACAAGAGACTCCAGCAAATGAATACAGCAGACAGAAGAGAGTCACAGAGCGGCCTGCACTGATCTCAGTCTGTGAGGATGAGACTGAAACACACAAATAACACAAATCATAGACTCTTCAATCATCATGTGAGTTTAAATGAAGAATTTGTCATTTTTAAATTGACCACATAATTGTAAAATTACCATGAAGAACATGCAGATAAACACGAGGAGCAGTTCTCAGTTGTTGGTCTTTATTCACACCAGTCCGTTGTTGGCAGATGTAAAATCCATAATCTTCTTTTGAGATGTTGTTGATGTTCAGAGAGCAGTCAGACCCCAGACTCAGTCTCTCATGACTCTCTGTGTCTTTCTTCTTTATCCCGTCATCAATCAGTTCAACAGTCGTTGAATCTTTATTATAATTCCATGTAGTTGATTTGCAGTCATGAAGAGCATTATTACAGGACAGACGGACATTTTCACCAGAACTGATGAACACATGAGCATCATCCTCTCCACTGAAACCTGAAACACAAGAACATCTGAGTGATAATTATGTTATATTTTAATAAATTAAGCTTCATAAACAAACTCCTGTGACAGCAGGTCATTCTCAGTGTCAGATATCAGTGCATATTCAGGAATAAAACAGTATTTACAAATGTGACTCTGAGATCAGAACAACGTCAGGAAGAATCAACCATGTTCAAACTAACTAATTCCCAGACTCCATGCCAGACCAGCTCTAGTAAAACACTTGAATATATATTAATATAATAATGTGTTTACCTGTGAGAAGTGCAGAGAGAATAACCAGTCCCAGCAGAAACAAATGACACGTATCAGCCATTTTCTCTTTCTCTCAGTCTTTCCAGATCCTCAGCAGCTTCTGCAGTTGAGAAGTTGAGACCGACACAAAATTCAACCAGCTAAAGGAAAGAAGCGGAAAGACTAAAAGAGTTAAATTCCATCAGTCTAATCTAGGTTCAGAAATGATCACAGTAACACATTTCCAAACCTCAACAGTGAGATCACAGCTCTGAAAATACTACAGGAAACATGTAATGTCACACTAGATTCAAGGCTTACTACCCAGAGCAAAAGGTTCTGCAAAGAGTCAAGTCAAGTCAAGTCACCTTTATTTATATAGCGCTTTTAACAATACAGATTGTGTCAAAGCAACTGAACAGCATTAATTAGGAAAATAGTGTGTCAATAATGCAAAATGACAATAGTAAACTCATTTTTCAGAGTTAAAGACAGTTCATCATAATTCAGGGATGTCAACATCCAGCTCAGTTTAAATAATATCTTTGCAATCATGTCAACGATAACGCTGGAAATGAAGTGTCCCCAACTAAGCAAGCCAGAGGACGGACTTATGCCACAGAGCAAAACCCCAATGCAAAACAGAATTGTGGGCTGGCTTGCGACTTCTCCTGCTCTCGCTGGTCACTGTGTTAGAGCACCTGCACGCGTGCTCACATTTACCATCAAAAGCGACCAGCAAACTAAAACTCAACACTTCAGTGTTACAACTCTCTAATCTGCTGAACTGGTGAATTTAGATTCCATCACTCGTGAAAACGAGGTAGAACTATGAAACTCAGAACTTAACTTAACAGACTTTCCTTCCTCTGAAACTATGTGTGTATTGTGTGTTTTAGCTTAAGTTTATGTAATCTAGAATAGCCCATAAATTTCAGGTTTCATTTATAAATACTCAATTGTCTGGTGTCATATAATCTCTGTGTCAACTCTATTGCCAAAAGATCCTTGCTTGCTACCTAGCTCGTAGCTTACTCATAATAATTACCTCTCTTTAAGAGCTGACAAATTATCATAATTGTATTTCACCCGTGGCCAGTGAGAATACAAAATTTACATATTCAATTGGTAATATACACTGACATCAACTTCTCGCTGGCCGAGTAGCTGATAAGAGTGTAAACTATCAAATTTAGAAAAGCAATTCGAATCAGGTTGAATTAGGCTCTTCAAATCCGAGTCCTATCAAAACCTGAATGAATTAATAATGATTAATTCCCTTACAACTAAGTAAAATTATTACACCATGTTGCTAGTTATTTCGTCTAGTTCATGTGTACTTATTGGTACATAGAGCAGTTGAGATAAATCAGGCAGGTTATTGCAGATGGCCTGCTGGGATGCAGGCCATCTGCGCGAAAAAGCCTAGGACGCTCCCAAAAAGATTCCAGTTATTAACAAAGAGCAGTTTCGGTTCTTTACACCATGACAATAACCATTCATTTAAAGCAAAAAGCCTACTGAACTTTTCATGTCCTCGTCGATACGTGGGAAGCGGTCCTGACACGATGATCGTCGTCGCGGGCGATGTGCGGCGCACCGTCTCGATCAGGCTCCTGAAGTCCCTCTTCAGTGTCTCCGTCTGCCGCAGCTTAGTGTCGTTAGCCCCCGCGTGACGCAAGACCGCTCCGGGGCTCTCGTCACCCTTCAGGATCATGGGTATCTGAGCAGAAACATCGAGAACACGAGCACCAGGGAAACAGTGAGTGTGCACTTTACCTTCAGCTAACGTAGCACAGACGTGCCGGACGATGGAGTCTCCGATGATCACAGCATCGCATTCCGTCTCGCGGACGGGAGTGAAGCGGTTCTGGATGGAGATCTCGAAGACCGGAGGCGGCGGAGGGGGAAAGGTCGTCGCCCGGGACCTGGCTCGCGTCTTCCGCTGTGGCTGCACCCAGGGTCCGTGGTGTCCCGGCGCCGGAGTGAAGGACATCTGGGAAGATTGCGTCCTGGGTGCACCGGGCCTGTGCAGAGAAACACACGGAGTAGAGGTGGTGGGAGAGTTAGCAGCGTGCTGTATACTTACCTCGGACTTGTGAGCATCAGCCTGGGATGTTTCCAGCGCGGCTCTCCGCTCTCTCAGCTGGGTCTGCTTTGCCACCAGGTCCCGGATCTGCTTCTCCACGGCCTCCAGCTCGACCTGCACCGAATGCAGCTCGAACGTGTCCTCACCTGCACTCAAAGGTAGACACACATCCGCCATTAAAGCAAGTAACAGTGAGTAAAACAATGGTAATGTGTGTGAATAGAGTATTAGTAATGTAAGCGAGATTAGCGGCAACCACGCTGGCGATGCTAGCGGGCTATATGCTAATAGCGGACTCGGAAAGTCAAAAATAGAACTAGTGCTAACAAGGCGCTCTGATTGTTTTTGTTGTAGAATACGATAGGGGATATATTCACACGTTATAGAACTGAAAAGAATGGTGTATAAAATTTATTTTAAGATTAGAAAAAATGAGACGACAAAGAATTAACTTGACGGAGCTCAAACTCAAAACACATGGCAGCAACAAACAGGAAGATATCCAGACAGATGTTGTGTGATGATGTCAAAGAGAGTGAATACAACACACTGACTGACAAAGGGGAAGCAAAGGTGGTTTGGGAAAAATACAATCTTTTCTATATAGTCTTAAACAGAGTTTAGAAGGAAACAGTACATCTCTGCACTGAAATGATCAGAGAACACAAAAAAATCAGATGTTCACACATGACATGTAATAATGTGATAATACCACAACCAATGCAATAATACAAAACATTATTCAAACTGTCAGTGGAAACTGACTTGATGGATTTACTCTCCCCTCCTCCTATATTATTCAGTAGCTGATCATAGTCTTAAATCTAGTGCATCTCTTCTGAGTTATTAATGTTAAAGTCGATGTGTGCGTTTGGTGTCTGAGAGGTGAGTGATGGTCTGACACATGTCAGGAACACGGTTTAGTCATTTAGCCTTCAGCCGAGGTTACTGGGATAGACTCCGGCCCTATGACCCTACAGAGGGTCCTGTAAGCATAAGAGAGTGAGAGAGAGACCCATTTAGCCCAGCATACAAATAAAAGTTATGAAGTTATGAAAAGAAAGTTATGAAATTTGGCACACATATAGAGGACAGGCTGAACATTAACCACAACAACTTTGGAGTCTCTTATGCAAACCCTCTAGCACCACCAACAGTTCAAAGTTGCACTCATATTTATGCTAATATCTTTTGAACTGTAAGGGCTAGAAACAAAATTCTGAAAATGTTTTAACCATTTAGATTTTTCTGAAAGACCTACTTTTTCAACCATTGCTCTAATTTTCATTAAAATCAAATCAGATCATCTTCAGATCTTGAAATGGATCTTGAAACGGAATTCAAGTTAAATAGTCAAACCGTTCTCAAATAATGTGCGAACAAATTTGACAAAGAACATACTGAAATGGATGTGAGGCTGTATTTCCGCAATGCATTAGCATACTGAGACCAAACTTAGTTTTTATTATGACAACCACCAGAGGGTACCTGCGCAGTTTCGACAGAGAGAGATATAAAATCAATATTTTTGCTGAATGGTTTGGCCAAAAATCAAGAGTCAAACTATACCCAATTTTCCAAATGTCTGTCTTTTTTGCAATCAACCATTTTGAATTTTGTTGTAAAATTATATGTTTTATGAACTTGTAGGTGTGATATGAAAGTCGGTATGTGTCATCGGCACCATGCCCTGAAGGGCTAATACGGTCTAATTTTTTTCCCCTTGCTTTTGCCTATTGACATGACATTGGTCTTTTTTTCTTTTTCTTTTTTTCTGAAAACACAGAACACATTTCAATAGATGTCTGTCTTTAAACAAAAAAATATTTTCTGCTTGGACTACTGAAAGTCTCTTACTTCATGATCGGCCAGGGTTGGTTAACTGATATTTTTATTATTTTTTTATTATAATGCTTTCATAAATAAGACTGAATGCTAACAGACATTTATTGTACTGTAGACACATTGGGCCTTATTCATGAAACACGAGCAGAGAAAACTTTTGTGTAAATCGTTCGTAAAGACATTCTGATGTAAACTTTCAAATTCATGAAAATGTTCATAGGCTATTTTCAAAATGTTAGTTGGTACATAAGAAATGTACACCTGAAATTTATTGTTAGGCATATGGCCTATTAGTGCCATTGCGCGGTAAGGGAACACACCATGTAAACAAGGATCTGGGTCCAAATGCAGGTCTTTATTAACTTAAGGGCAAACAAAGTAAAAACCAGGTGCTGGAGGGGGACCTGGGGACTGAGGCAGAGCTGGTCTGAGGTGGACCCAGGGCAGAACCAGCGGCCACCACAGCTGTGTGTGTGGAGCTGCTGCCTTGAAGCGGGCAATGGTGGGCTCCGCCGCTTCAGGAGCCCCAGGGGCGAGCACTGCCGCTTTGGGAAAACCAGAAATGAGCCCCGTCGCCTCAGAGGGAAGATTAGTGGGCTCCACCCCTTCGGGAAGGCCAGAAGCGAGCTCTACTGCCTCAAAGGGAACATCAGAGGACTCCGCCAACACGGGAGCATTGTGAGCGGACACCAATGCCTCGGGGGAACTGTGAGCGGACACCACCGCTGCTGGAGCTTTGTCAGCGGACACCGCCGCTTCTGGAGCTTTGTGAGCGGACACCGCCGCCTTGGGGGAACTGTGAGTGGACACCGCCGCCTCGAGGGAACTGTGAGCGGACACCGCCACTTCTGTAGCTTTCTGAGCGGACACCGCCACCTTGGGGGAACTGTGAGCGGACACCGCCACTTCTGGATCTTTGTGAGTGGACACCGCCGCCTCGGGGGAACTGTGAAAGAACACCGCCGCTGCTGGAGCTTTGTCAGCGGACACCGCCGCTTCTGGAGCTTTGTGAGCGGACACCGCCGCCTTGGGGGAACTGTGAGTGGACACCGCCGCCTCGAGGGAACTGTGAGCGGACACCGCCACTTCTGTAGCTTTCTGAGCGGACACCGCCACTTCTGGAGCTTTCTGAGCGGAAACCGCCGTCT